TATTTAAAATGTAAACGACATAAAATTTAAAAAGAAAGAGACAGACAGAGGAACAAAAAACTAAAACTGTTATACTGAACAACTAAAATATTTTTTTAAGAGATGCCAGACTAAAATTTTTCAGTTAAAGCGACATGGCCACGCATCAAATTTGTTGACTCAAACGGTAAGTTTTTTAATTGTGTTAGTGAAAAAACTCACATGTATATATGCGGTATAAGTTTTTTTACTAACACAATCAAAAAACTTACCGTTTGAGTGAACAAATTTGATGTGCATGTGTGGCCATGTCGCTTGAAAGAGGCTTCACTTTTTGTCCAAAAAAGTCGTGTATGAAAATGTCGAAAGTCGACTTTGTAAAAAAAAGTCGAAAAAATCATTCATGACCAGACAGTCGTCTGAAAAAATTGTCATGTAAAAAATTGCGCCTATGTGTGAGATGATGTGTGAGAAATAATTAATATATGTACATAATTAATTAATAATTAGAATTATGTATTTTTAAACATTAGTAGAGAAAAAGAGAAAGATAATTTTAATATTTTAAGCTGCGTTGAATCTGAATCGAACATTAAATTAAAAAAACGTTTTATGTCATATTTGAGACACATCATATACATATACTTTTCAATTCGAATAGTTCCTGCTTCTACTGTAAAATTTTAAAAATGTGGGATAGGGTGACGATATTACTCTATTTCCGAGTGTTTTTTTTTTACTTGGTTTGTGTGTGTGTCTTAACACAGAGGCAAAAAGAAATATGTATACAAATTGACACCAAATTTACAAAAACATCCGTTGATTTAGATTTCTACAACGTTGCGTTGTCAACATTGCATAGTGTTGTCGTACGTACACACATACGTACACTTTGACAACGGATGTTATTGAAAATTTGGTGTCAATTTGGTACCAGGAGAGTATGTTTGTTTCTTTTTCTCTCTGTATTTCGATTCGAATTGAAATTTTCTTTGTTTGGCAACTTTGGTATTCTGCATTTCGATTCGAAGCTCCGTCACTAAAATAACAACTTACAAAAACATTTACGTCGCAATAAAGAATACACACATCGTAAAGCATTGAAATAAAATAGAATTGCTTCTTCTTTTTCTTACGACTTCGTTTTTTGTTGGAATCCAAATTCGATCAGAATAGGGGTGAATAATGTTTTGGGCCGGCAGATGTTACTAGAACGAACAAAGTGCCGGTTCACACAGGCAAATTTTTTTGTGAAACTTTTGATTTTGTATATGAGAGAGAATAAGAGAAAGAAATATCAACCATCCTTTTCTCTCACAAACAAAATCGAAAGTTTCTCCAAAATCAAAAGTTCTCACAGGAAACTTTTAATTTGGAGAAAACCGGCACTAAATAATAATATTAATATTGGGAACCTACGATATAAACGAAATATATATAGGTATTCTATTTTTGGAATCTTTCTTTAAAAGATACAGTAACCTCCTACATTAATTATAAAGCCTAATTTTATTTACATAAATGGCATTTTAATTAAAACTTTTTTAACCTACAGTTAATTAAAAAAATCTGCTATATAAAAGAAGATTCTGGAAACGTATACAAAAACAATAGTTTTTCCATCCCTTTTTCCTCTATTATGTAAAATTTGTCTTTTTTTAATTATTTATTTGCAACCCTTAAAAAACAAGTTCTTTTAAATAAAAAACAACAACTAAAATTGTTATACAGAAACACCTAAAATAGTTAAGAGATGCCAGACTAAGAAATTTATTTAGAATGAAACTAAATAGTTTTACAAAAAATTAATATTTTTCTTCAAAGAAATCTTACCCCCCTATTTTGTAAAACAGTTCACCTTGCGTTGAAAATATTTTCATACAAATTTTTGAAAATACAAAAACAATTTATATGAAAAATTAAGTGACGTTAGGGGAAGGGATTTACAAAATAACCCCCTTAATTTTTTACCACATACATCTTAAAATAAAAAATAATAGTTTACGCAAGGAAAAATATTTATCTTTTATTACAAAAAATAAAAAAAAAAGATTTTCCGGCAAAAATTAAGTTTTTGAATTTTTTTAAAAAGCTATTTTGCCAACTTTTTGGAAAATTTTCAAATTCAATATTTTTAAATATTATTGAAAATTATTAATTAATTATTATTATCAGCCGTTTGTCGAACAATTTTTTATATTTTTTTATAAATTAGTTTAAAGATTTTTTCTATTTTGTTTACATTTGACCCATATAATTTTCTAGAAGAATTTTTATAACCCAGCTGTTGCTTAAATGGTGCAGGAAAGATAAGAAGCTGTTTTGTGACACATGCGCGATAAGAACGCCTTCGCCCGGCAGAATTTACTAGAACAAATATTGGAAAATGTGATATGAAAGAACAATTACATATGTACATTAGGGAATAACTAATTTGGCGAAATTTTTGGTATACCACCACGAGTACATAAAAAATTATTTGTTGATCATATTTGTTTTGACCATATCTCCGATCCTTAAGGACCGATTTTACTGGTTACAACTAAATTCTTAAAAGCATGTTTAAATTAATTATCTAAGCTTTGGATTCCGAAGACATATGGAGACTTCAAAAAACTTATTTTATTTTAAACAGACGGACAGACATTTGGTGCGTGAACGTTTTAACCAACCGCGAAAAAATAATAATGTAGTTTCTTATAGTTTTTATTAATACTCTATTCGACTATGATATGCCAACTTGCATATTCGTAAAGAATGTCAATAGTTATGTCCCTAATGTACATACATACATATGTATGTACGTAGGTATAAAAAGATTTTATTGAATCTTCTATTCTATTCTTCAATAACAATAATGTTTATTTACAAAACGATAGAATAAATAATACTATTTTCTAAAATTATTTACGTACATACATCTCAATCAAGATCATAGTGAAAAACTTGCTAGAGAGAAAAAATATATGTATGTATGCAGAAAGAACTACCTACCACTAATTAGTAGATCATATGCATACATATGTATGTATGTACATTACATGCACTAGTAATTTGAAGCTCAAAACTCAATAAAATTATTCTATAAGTTTTTTAAATTATATTTTGAAACATTTCTAAACTGCAGTTATCTAATATAGAAAAAGGAAAATTCCGGAAATTCTACAAAAACAATGAGTTTCCTCCCTTCCACTATATTTCTTCTATTGTAAATGTTTTTTTTTTAAGAATTCAACCCCCAAAATTAAAATAAAAAAAACATCTGTTAAAACAAGTTCATATGGCAACAACAAAAACTATAAACTGTTATATAGAAACACCTAAAAATAGTTAAGAGATACCAGACTAATAAAATTTGCGAAAAGAAAATTATTGATTTTCCATAAAAATATATAAAATATATATAAAATTTCCAAAAATAATTTTTTGACAAAAATTTATTTATGTTTACTTTTTTAATTATCTTCCAGAGACAAATTTAAAAAAAGTGGTGAAACTAAAAAAAAATTTTTGACCCTAGCTTTCATACAAAGTCCCCTTCAGAAAATGACTTGAATGTTCAAACTTCACATATAAACATTAATGTCGCGATGAATTTCAGCACAAATAAATACTATATAAAAAATAAATCTAATCAAACAATTTTATGGGGATCGGTCCATATTTGCCCCTAGCATAGAAAACTAGTTTTTCGTCCATAAATTTCTTAAATGTATAGGAAACAATGTTATATTGAAAATAAATACTGACCGCCTTATTCACAAACAACATTTTTATACCCTTCACCTTCGTGAGAAGGGTATATATAAGTTTGTCATTCCGTTTGTAATTTCTATAATATAATTTTCCGACCCTATAAAGTATATATATTCTGGATCCTTATAGATAGCGGAGTCGATTAAGCCATGTCCGTCTGTCTGTCCGTCTGTCTGTTGAAATCAGTTTTTAGAGGACCCCAGATATCGGCGAGATCCGAATCTTCAATAATTCTGTTAGACATGCTTTCGAGGAGATCGCTATTTAAAATCAGCAAAATCGGTCCATAAATGACGGAGATATAAGCAAAAATCCGAGACAACCTCTGAAAATTTCATTAAAAAAGACAATTTTTTCATGCTTTGATTAATAAGCAACAACAACAACACTGCATATTCATTGAGTATTTCGTTTCACATGTTTGGATGGCTGTGTGTTTCATTGGCATGTGTATATTGTTTTTGTTTCTTGGTGTATTCAGTTTTGTATGTTTGGATGGCTGTGTGTTTCATTGCCTTGTGTATATTGTTTTTGTTTGTTGGTGTACAGTTTCGTTTGTTGGTTTTTACTGCCTTGTGTATTTTGTTTTTTGAGTGTTTATTTCGTTTAGCGTTGTTATTGTTCATTTTGTTTTGCTACTGCTATAATAATGATATAATCGGGAAAATTAAATAGGTACATAAATTAAAATTTTATAAAATTTATATTTTTTAAATACACTATGGTGAAGGGTATATAAGATTCGGCACAGCCGAATATAGCACTCTTACTTGTTATTTTATAAAAGGTTTATAAAACAAAATTTCCATACAAAATCTAATTTATAAACTGTTTATAAAATAATTTTTTTTTCGTGAATAATGAAAAATAAATCACATTTAATATATATAACTAATGTAGGGTATCATATGGTCGGTCACGCCCAACTATACCTTCTTGGTTATTATTAAAATCGTTTTCACATCTAAATGTGAAAAGATGGGAAATGGAGAAACAAATAGAAAATTCCAAAAACTTGAAAGTCTACTTAAACATTTAGTATATACAAAAAATGATCTGGCATCCCCTTTTTAAAATAAAACAAAACAAACACGTATAACAGTTTCCAACTGACTCAGAACAGAGACAACAATATAATAAAAAAAATCCAAAAAAATCAGCCACAATGGAAAATCGATAATGCTAGAACGGGGTGGTGGAAATTTCCTGAACATTCTCTGCATGTGGTAGTGAACACGTACGCCATGGGTATAAATACGACTGCCTAGCGACCAGCAAATTCATTCGTAAAGAAAAAGTCAACTAGTGTGTGTCTACAAAGAAATAAAAGTGTAAAAAGTTAAGAGTGTAATTGATTAAAGTGAAGAAAATTTATTTTAATTAAAGTGTATTGCTGGTGTAAAAGTGTGTGTTGCCATTGAATAGCAGAAAAATGGCTTTGCGTTGCAAATTATTGCGAAATGAGCATTTTTGCTCCACAAATAGTAGGCTGAAATGATATTAGACGCCACAAGAAAATGCAGTAGAGCATTTTATGAAATTGAAAGATGATAAAAAGAAATTAATGAGCTGGCACCAACAGGATGAGGCTTGAATTTTATAGAAAATCTTGCGGAATTTGCTGAAGAGGTTTTATTATCCTAGAGCGGACGTGAAGTAAAAGAAAAATGAGGTTTCTAACTAAACGAATGAAAAAAAGGTTGTAAAGGACCCAGCGTTTTGAGGAAGGTTTTAGAGCTACATGGGCCAGTAGAGAGATCTTTTAAAAAGTGTGTACATATAGTACTAGAGCAGGTTATAGAGTTGTGCCACGGAAAAAATGGTTCTTTCCCCACTGACTAGGTAAATTTTCTCGAAAATCGTAAGCATTTTTTCTATAGTTGATAAGTTAGTTTTATGTATATTTTAAGGTATTTTATTAATAATATATAACTGCGCAATTTACAATTTTTACATGACAAAGTACCTATAATTTTTTTTTACAAAAAATGATTCATATTTTTTCTGTACACTTGAATATTTTTTCACTGTTATACATATTTTATTTGTGTATAGTTGTCTCTTTTGCACTTATTTTAATATGCGAAAAAAACTACTGGTTTTAACATTGAATTAAAATAATTTTTCTTGCAAACGTTTACTTTAAATTTATATCTGTGGAAAATTTCCTCTATAAATTTCGCTAAACATATGTTTTGTATTAATTTTCTAATATTGTGAAATTTATTTTGGTTTAAAGCCAATTTTTTTTAATGAGTTCATCTTCGATGACAAAGTTTTTTTCTGTAATTTCATAAGTTTTTGAAAAATTCTTCAAAACTTTTATTAATTTCATAAGTAGGGCATTTAAAATATTAAGAAAATTTCCCAATTTTTTAAGTAAAAACTGATTTTGTATGAAACTTCCAGAAAATCTTGCCTTTTCCAATATAATTTTTGTTAAAACAACTGGAATTTTATTGTCCAAGTTTTATTTTAAAAGAAAATTTGAAAATTTTCCAGTTGTTAGTTTTTGTTAATTTTTCGATTTTTTTTTTCAGAAACTAAAATTTTCCATTCTTAAAATTTCTAAAAACCCTGCCCTTTATACAAATATTTAGTTTAGGTAACTGCGCAGTTTATATTTTCCTTACGAAAATCTAGAATTTTCTTGAAAATTACATGTATTCTTCATTCCTCTCCCCTTCCTTAGTGCTTTGCCTTGGGGAAAAAATTGTAACTGCGCATTTAAAATTTCCCCCACATTTTGTTTCCAAGTCACTGTTCATTTGTTATGGGGAAATATTCTAAACACCCCCCCCACGCCGTTGTTTTTACAATGATGTTGATTTAAATTGAACATTTCCTCTTTTAGGGGAATTTTCTGCTTCCCCTCATAGTTATTTTTATAGAAATTTTTGTGCTAAATTATATATTTCCTGCTAAAACAATGTTGTCATATGAAATGTAAACAAAAATCTTTTAAAAATTGTTAACAAAATTTCAAATATTTTGCAAATATTCCATTAAAATTATTCAAGAAACGTCTCTTCTATCGTCCCCTTGTTTTCTTTTTTTTTTTTTTTTGTATAATTTGTTAAAATTTCTTTTAACTGTTATATTGGCAATTTCTGTTATAAATACTGCAGGAAACTTGTACCTAATGTAGAATTAATAATTAATGTTAAATTTTTAACATCAAAATGTAAAAACAACTTCTCCTTTCTGTTGTTTTCTAGTTCATTTTCTTCAACATCGTTTTTTCTACTGTAAAAGCAGCTTATTCTGTTATCAAACACTGCAGAAAACTTCTATATAATATAAAATTTACCTGTAATGTTAAATTGTTATAACAAAACAAACAAATACTTCCCCTTCATATCAAATGTGTTCTACAACCACAGCTGTTGTGCAATTTCAGTATTTGTTTTCGTATTCAAATGGCAAATGTAAACAAAAAGTTAAATAACAACAACAAATACTGTATACATACAGGGTTTCTCCTCTCCTTTGTGATTAAAATTTCTGCCCTCATATTTGTTTACATTTTATAATCAAAACAAACAGCTGTGTATACGTGCAGAGTAAATAAATTTCCCCTCTACTATTCCCACAACAGTGTTTGTTTCTCTGTGTTTGTTTTCATTTCACAATAAAAACAAAGCTTAACAACTACAGCCCTGTTACGTATAGAGTTAAAATAATTCCCCTCTTCTTTTATTGTAAACAAAGCTCAGCCAAAACACACTGTTTGCCTGCAGACTTAACTAAAATTCCCCTATTTTCCCCATTTTTTAACTGTCTTACCTTGAGCACAGTTTAAAATGTTCCCCTTTTTAGGAGATAGGCTTTAATATTTATTACAACTATAATTTCTTTTTAATTATAAAATATTTTAATGAACATTAATTTTAAGCTTTAATTTATTGCAAAAAAACAACATAATTATTTATCTTTATAAAAAACTTACAAAATACTTTCTTTTTTTTAAACCATTTAGCAAATTTTATGTCCGTTTGGGCGGCCTTTTCTCGTAAAACATTAAATGATTTTGCTAAGTCAGTCTCGTCGTCGTCTCTCTCGTATCTCGTTACAAATTACAAAAAAAAAAAATAAAATAAAAGAACAAAAATAACAACAGTAAAACCCTAACAACAACTATACAAACCAATAAAAAACAAAAAAATAGAAAAAAAGGTTTAAGAAAAAGCTACGTTAAGCGGTATTAAAGCGTTAAAAAGCGTTTAACACACACAATCTGTATTGAAAATCCCTTTTGCTAAGCGTTACAAAAACAAAGCGAAAATATCTTATGATAAATTAGAGAAAAAACTAAGAAAATATAAAAAAACGGAACGAGAAGACAGAAGACAGGCAGGCAGGTCGGCATAAATAAATAAATGTTTCTAAGAGAAAAATCAGGCAGGCAGGCAGTATGTAAAAGAGTTCGTTCGTTCGTTCGTAAGTCAGACAAATCATACGATGATGTTAACGAAACAAAGAGAAGACTACTACTACTTGCTAGACCAAATATTCAAAAAACAACGGCCAAAAATTAAAACTAAATGTATGTTTTAAACGCCCAATGAAAAAAACATGATTTTTTTAACAAATCACTCACATTTAAACAAACAACATCATTATTAAATTACAATTTACATTTTGTTTATTTTTGTTGAATTAAAAACTGTTTATATAACTAGAAAACAACAACAACAATAGCGTTAAAATATATAAAAAAGGGTCTTTTAAAACCCCTTTATTTAAAAAAAAGAACTTTAAAAAAAAAGCTTAAATTTATAACATCAACCACCACTTTAAGTTGTAAGGTTTTTTTTAAATCATTCTAAGATTTAACCACAAAAATCATTTATACTAAGCATTTTTGTAGTTTTTATTAAAAAAAAAACAATTGTTTTCTTAATTTATAAGCATTAATTTGTTGTTTTTTCATTTCCTGTTTTTTACTACTTACTACTACATAAAACAAACAAAATTCTCTAATTTTTTGTTGTTCCATACAAAATTGTTGAAAAAAAAAATTTATCTTAAAAAAAAAAAATGAAACAAAAAAATAACAACAAGATTTTTTAATAAAAATTTAAATAATTTTTTCTATACCACCTTGAAAACGTTTTTTCTTATAAAAAAAAATTTAAAACAAAATAAAATAAACTGCCTTAAACTTCTTGTGGGTTTTTAAATCATAACAAGTGGCAGTTTTATTTAAAAAAATTATTTCCCTTACAGCGATTTCTTTTTGAACAAAATCAAAACAAAATTTTAACAAAGTGAGTAGATTTTTTTAACATATTTTATATAATATAGAAAATATTTATTTTAAACAAATAGGGGATTAATTTAAAGAAAAAATAACAAATTATTAAATTTAAAAGAAAAAAATAATAAAATATAAGAATATTGAGACAAACTAAAACGTTTAAATAATATTAATAGAAATTTAAAGTAAAAAGATTTAAGTTTGAAAAAATCAATACAGAACATTATAAATTTATTAAAAAAATGGGTTAAAGGTTAAACTTGGTTAAAATGCGTTAAATTTTAGAAAACAAATTACATACTTGAAATGCGTCGAAGATAGTTTTTAAAAATGCATAAATTTTGGAAAATTAAATGCGTCAAAATATTGCGTTATATTGGTTATGGGTTTATTTCAAATGCGTCGAAGCGTAAAATTTTGAAAAAATTAAAAAAATGCTTCAATTTTTAAAAATGCTAAGCAGATGTTAAGTGAAATGAAGAAAATTAAAAGCGATTTAATTAGAAAAATAAGTTTTAAAACTAGAAAAAAAGAGAAATACGTAAATTACAAAAAATACTTGAAATGCGTCAAAAATATTTGAAAAACTAAATGAATATTGAAAATAAGCTTTTAGGGATTGATAGGCAACAGTTAAAAGGAAATTGAAATGCGTCAAAAATATTTGAAAAACTAAATGAATATTGAAAATAAACTTTTAGGGATTGATAGGCAACAGTTAAAAGGAATCAAAATTACTTGAAATGCGTAGAAAATATTTGACAAACAAAATGCAACGCGTAAAATTTTATAAAAAATGGATAAATTATTGTCAATAAAAAAAATCACTTTAAATGCGTCGAAAATATTTAAAAAAAATGTGTAAATTACTTGAAATGTGTCGAAATATATTGCGTTATAAAGATTATCAGATGGTAAATGGAATGAAAAAATGAAAATCAGTTTAGATAGAAAAATAAGTTTTAAAACTAGAAGAAAAGGAAAAATGCGTAAATATTAATAAATATTGAAAATAAACTTTAGGGAATATTAGGTAACGATTAAAAATAATCAAAATTACTTGAAATGCGTAAAAAATATTTGAAAACTGAAATGCAGAGTAAAAATTTTATAAAAAATGGGTAAATTATTGTCAATGAAAAAAATCACTTCAAATGCGTCGAAAATATTGAAAAATATTGAGGATTATACAAAAATGCGTAAATTTTGAAAAAAAATTACTTGAAAGTCGTCGAAATATATTGCGTTATAAAGTTATGGGGTTATGTTAAATGGAATGAGAAAATTAAAATCAGTTTAATCAGGAAAATAACTTTTAAAATTAGAAGAAAAGGAGAAATGCGTAAATATTGAAAATAAATTTTAGGGAAGGTTATTTAACAGTTCAAAAGAATCAAAATTACTTGAAATGCGTAAAATATAATTGAAAAACAAAATCTAAGCTTAAAAATTTATTAAAAAGGTACATTTTTTGAAAATGATAAAAAAAATCACTTCAAATGCGTCGAAAATATTGAAAAATATTGAGGATTATACAAAAATGCGTAAATTAAAAAAAAAAAAAGAAAATTACTTGAAAGTCGTCGAAATATATTGCGTTATAAAGATTATGGGGTTATGTTAAATGGAATGAGAAAATTAAAATCAGTTTAATTAGGAAAATAAGTTTTAAAACTAGAAGAAAAGAAGAAATGCATAAATATTGAAAATAAACTTTAGGGAAGGTTAGGTAACAGTTCAAAAGAAAAACAAAATCTAAGCGTAAAAAGTTATTAAAAAAGGGAACATTTTTTGAAAATGATAAAAAAAATCACTTCAAATGCCTCGAAAATATTTAATTAAATTTGAAAAGCGTAAAATTTTGAAAGATTATACGAAAATGCGTAAAATTTTGGTAAATAATACAAAAATTATTTGACTAATACGTCGTCGAAATATATTGCTTTATAAAGATTATGGGGTTATGTTAATCAGATGTTAAATGGAATGAAGAAAATGAAAAGCGGTTTAATTAAGAAAATAATTTTTGAAATTAGAAGAAAAGGAAAAATGCGTAAACTGCAAAAAAATTGAAATGCGTAAAAATACATGCAAGACTAGATTAATGAAATGCGTTAAAATGCGTAAAAAAATATTTGAAAAACTAGACGAATATTAAAAAGAAACTAGGGAATGTTAGGGTAACAATAGGCAGAAAAATGCGGCTTTTTAATTAAAAAGAAATTATGTATCTTAAATTATGAAAAATAATCAAAATTTTTATAATAAAAGTAATTCAAAATATATTTGAAATGCGTAAGAAAAAAAACTGAACAAAACTTTTTAAAAGCAGATATAGGGACCGATTTTTAATAGGTAAAATAAACTGCAGAGTCAGGATAAACAAATTTTTAAACTTATTTGAAGCAGAAATGCGTTAAATAGCTTAATTGCATTGAGATTTGAAACATAAATAATTATTAATCCTGGAACTTAATTAAAAATGCGTTAAATAAAACAAAATTATAAAAAAATACTTTAAATGCGTCGAAAATGTTAAATTGAATTTGAAAAGCGTAAAATTTGGCTAAATAAGATTTGAAATTTTAAAACAAAATGCGTAACTTTTAGTAAAAAAGAATTACTTGAAATGCATCGAAATATTGCTATAAAAAATATTAAAATATAGATAAGTATAGGGTTAGTTAGTAATTAAACTGAATCTAAAAAGCATTAAATTTAGGGAAATAAAATTTAAAATTAGAAAAACAATGCGTCATCAGGAAATAATAAATGCGTAAATTCTGGAAAATAATACAAAAATGACATGAAAATCTTTTGAAAAACTAGATTAATATTGAAAAGGAGATTTAATTTAAGGAATTTTAGGTACACATTTTTTGAAATTAGGTAGAGACATTTAAATATAAAGAAAATGCGTTAAATACATAATAATCATAATTATTAAAAAAACAAGTACATAATGATAATTATTAAAATAAGACAAAATAATGAAATGCGTTAAAAATATTTGAAAAAAATAAATAAAATACCTGAGCAAAACTTTTTGAAGGAGAAAATAGGAAGCAGTTTTTATAGTTAAAAGAAAATGCAGCGTCAGGCTATAAGAGTAATTGCGTTAAATTCGTAAAATTTAAATATAAAAATTGAAAATGAAAACAAAATTAATTAAAAATTCGTCGAAAATATTAAATTTTAATAGCGTAACATTTAGCGATAAAAAGTTCTAAAAATTATAAAAAAATGCGTAACCTAAAAAAAACTTTTTATTTTTTAAAAAATATAAAAAACGAGTCGAAATACAATTGCATCATAACAATTTATAAATATGGGGCCAGTTAATCAATTACATATAAATTTAAAAATTAGGAAAATAGGTTTTAAATTAGAAAATTATAAAAAATAGAAACATTTTTTAAAATGCGTTTAAAAATTGAGAAAACTAAATAAAGTATTCAAAAGAAATATTAGAGAAAACGACGAGATTATTTAAAAAGCGATAAAAAGATTTGAGAAGTTTTTTTTTTTAAACGGTAGAAAAGGCAGTTTATAAACTTTAAGTAAATTTTTGATAATAGTACAGAAGAAATTTATTAAAATGCGTCGAATATTGCCCAAAGATAGAGAAACTTAACCTCCAAAACTAAGCAATATATTAAAATAAAATGAAGGAAAAGAGTAAGGATTTGTTTACTAGGTAGAAAATGCGGCTCGAAAATTGTTACAAAATATAGTTTTTAAAATTATTTTATTAAATTAAAAATAGAACAATTTACATGAAATGCCTTTAAAATGAGGTTCATTTTTTATCAGGATTCAAATATCTACGATATTTTCTCTTACCCGACTATAAATTAGTCGTTCTTACACGACAACAGTTTTCACGGCTTGATAAAGGTCCAAAATAAAAAACGTAGAATTTTGAATGATTTAAATTAGGCGTCCTTACACGGCGAGTATTGAAACTTTTTGGCGAAAGCTATCAGATCGTTTAAAATGCGTGACATAAACAAATTTAAAAAATTGTATTAAATTCTGAAAATTAAATATTTCAAAAATAGAATAGAATTAAAAAAATAGGAAAATATTTGAAAGTAGAAATAATTAAAGCCTCAACAATATAATAGATCATAGTAAGAAATAAAAAAAATAATAATAAATAATAGAAAATAGGAAAACAAATAAAAAAGAAATCTAAAATATTTTTGAAATTAAAAAAAAAAAAAATAAAAAAGCATTTAAATACAAAAAAAAAGAAATGAAAAAAATATAAAAATTTAAAAAAAAAAAAAAATATTGAAAATGCAAAAAAAAAGAGAAAAATACATAAAACAGAAATATAAAAAAATATATAAAAACAAATAAACAAAAAATAATAGAAAATGCGTTGAAAATTTAAAAAAATATAAGAATTTTAAAATAAAGTTTAGAATAGAAAAAAATCACATTAAAAATATAAGAAATAGTTAAAGATATTTTAGGGACTTAATTTTAAAGTATTTCAAAAGCCGTAGAAGCTTCAAATTAAGAAAAAAGGAAAGAATACGTTTTGAGAATTTTAAAACTTTTTTAAAAATGCTTCTAGAATTTAAAGATTTCACCAAATTTAGAAATTTTAGTAATTGAAAAAAGCTGCGTCTTAATTACAAACAAATTTTAAATTTAGAAATGCGTTAAAACATAAAGAGAAGAAAGAAATTGGAAAAACTACGAAATAGAAATAATATTTTAAATTGGGAAAAAATGCGTTAAAATTATGCAAAAATTAAAAACAGAAATTTTTCAAAAATTTTAAATAAATTATAATTTTTTACAAGAAATGCGTCAAATTGAATATGAAATGGGTCCATAGTTAAAAAACAAATACGTTCATTCTGCGGTCATTAAAAAAGTGTTTAAATGATTGAAAATTTAAAAAATAGTTTAAATAGAACTTGCGTCAAATTAAGCGGTAAAATGCATTAAAATTTAATACAAAAACAGGATCAAACTTTTGTCATAAATGCGTCAAATTAAATGAAGAGAAAACGTCAATGAAAAATATTAATTGCGTTTAAAACGAAAATTATGCCTTAAAGAAGATGATTAAAAAGCGATTATGTAATATACTACAAAAATAAGTTAAATTTACCTTACGTTATGTTCGCTAGGTTTACGTTATGTCTTGTTACCAAGCTTACGTCTGCTAATTAAATAATTACGTAGTTCTTTATAATTTCAGTTGGTAGATAGATGCTTACGTTTATTTATAAAACGCATGATGAAGAGTTTCTTTCAATTTCTTTAGTGAAAAACGTATATAATTACGTTAGTAGTAGCTTACACGTCTGTAAATAAGCTTGTTTAAATTTAATAAAAAAGTTTATATTTAGAAAATCCAAAAGTTTTATTAATAAATATCCATTATAAGCAGAGTTGCTGCTCTAAGACTATAAATAAGACTATTTTCGTAAAACATTGTACAGTCTATGGCGGGTATTGAAACCGCGCATATTAAAAGTTTAATTCAATCAGTTTCTTACTACCACTAGTCCAAAAAGGCAATTAGGTAAATTATGCAGATACATTTTAACAATTATTTTATGTTGCGTTACGTAATTATTTATATTAAAAAAATCACAATAATAAGTAGACCAGACAATTACAAATAAGATTTCTTAAGTATTTTCACTAAAAGACGTTATTCTCCTAGCATTTAAAAGTTAATTTCTTATGAAATTATATTAAAGTCACGTAATAGCGTCTTATTTTCGAAGTTTATAAGCAGTTTCTATTTCAAGCATTTTACTTCAATTAATATCTTTTTAAGTATTTTCTACTTAAACCAGATTAAATTTTTAATATAACATTAATTTTAGTTAGGTTTAGTGTTATGTATTTTAAATCTGAAATAAGTTTTAATCTAAAATTATAAAACAGATTAGCGTCGTATTACGACTGTACGTATCAATTACAAACGAAGTAATTTATAAATGCGCGTCATATTTAAACTGCAAGAGATAAAATGCGTCACTAAAATTTTAAATTAAAAATGCGTTCAACTATAAATATAACCTCAATAGCCAAATATTTGATAACAAATTTGCGTCAATTTTAAATAAAAATGAGTCAATATTGAAAATGCTTTATAATTAACAAAATTAATCGAAATGAAGAGTTTTGAAAGCGTAAATGAAAATTTAAATAAGTCGTTTTAAATATTATTATTAAATTAGAATCAAACTGCGTTATAATGAAAAAAGGGTACAAAATTTTAAAGTTAAAAACTCAAAAACCCGAAAATGAGTTTAAAAAGCGTAAAGGGTTTCAATTTCGAATACTATTAAAAACAATAGCGTCAAAATAAAGCAAATCGAGTTAAAAGGTCTTAAAAATAAAAAATTCGTTAAAAAAATAACACGATTAACAGATTTAGAAACAAATCTTAAGAGAAATTAATAAAAATAATGAATAAAATGAATTTTGCGACAATTCAAAATTCTTAAAATTTATTGCAGAAAGTCCTTTGACAAATTTCTTTTAAATACCCTAAAACAAGCAAAAAAATAGTTTTTAAAAACAAATCCCCAAAATCACTAAAATATTGTTGAATTGACATTACTTGTACGTTAAAAAGGGCGTTATTACACAAACGCAGACAACACCCACTCAAACACTAACAAAATTTTAACAAAACTATTTAAGATAAAATAAATTTGATACTTCTTGATAAGTACAAAAAACAACAAAATCATATTCACAATTTTGCGTATATTTTCCACACTAAGGGAACTTGAACTAAAATTCACCCAAAAAACGTTTTAAAAAGGTTTAAATTTGATTTTTACCCCAAAAAATCGCTACAATTTTAAAACAATTACTAAATAATACAAACCAGACTTTACGAGAAAAAACTTGCGTTACGTAAAGCTAATAGAAACGTATTTACTATTTATATTACAATACAATTACAAATTATAACCTAATTACTGAGTAGAGAGCGGCGAAGACTCTAGAACTCGAAACTCGCAAGCGTAAACGTAACCACTATTTAGTGTACCTAAAAAGAAGTTAAAAAAAAAACTATTAACTTTTGGTAAAACAGACTAGAAACTCCACAATCTAAACTTTCATACCAAAATATCTGAAATTTTTTCACCAAAATAATATATGTTTTAAAAAGGTTTAAATTTGATTTTTGTTTCAACAAATCACTACAGTTTTAAAACAATTACTGAATAACTCACGCTTTAACAACAAAATTGAAACTTACGTTACGTAAAGCTGAAATATTAATACTTTACAATACTATTTATATTCTAATTTATATTACTCAGCAAATAGACTTGAAAGTTAAGCTAGAATCGTACCCGTAACTCGAATACTAATAGACTATCAACAAGTCTAAAGATTTGAAGGATTAGGTACCTCAACAACAAAATTAATTTTTGAATTTCTTTTTCTAATTATTTTTAAATTTTTCATTTCCAAAACCATGTTTTAAAAATGTTTAATTTTGATTTTATACAACAAAATCGCTACAATTTTAAAACAATTACTAAACTCAAGACTTAAGACAACTTCTTTTACTTAAGTTCTTAAAACTCAAACAATAAAGCCGTTAAAAAATACCTATTTTAACTTAATTAATCCGAGTAATTAGGCGAAAACCATAATACCGTTAAGTCTAAAAGACGAAGAGTATGTGAAAGGAATCTGAATACGTTACCACCAGACTTTTACATATAAACACATTTTTCAAATTACGTTAAACGACACTAAAGATTTTTAGTAAAACAGACGTAATCGAAACCTCAAAGATATATAACTTACGTTACGTAACGTAAAGCTATAAAAATTATCTTCATACTGATCTCTACTTAAACAATTAATAAAATTAACACACCTGATATCGACCCATACTTTTCACCACCTGAAAAGAAAAAAACAAAAAGACGTTAAAATGTTTTAAAATTTTTTAAATTTGATTTTAAATAAATCGCTAAAATATTAAAACAAAAGACAAAACTATAATAAAAACGCAACAAAAAGTAAATTTAAAAAGAAATTTTACTGTGTAGACACGTTACAAACTGCTGAATACGTCACGTTACATTAAAAATGTTTAATACTTTATGGTAGACTCTTGCGTTACGTATGTACATTTTTTAATAATGCATTAAAAACCTGAACGAAAAAAAATAAATTTTAAATTGTAACCTTGCGTTACGTAAAACATGATTTAAGTTGAAAATTATGAAAAAAAATATCAAAAAGTATTGAGTTGCATTACATTATGAGTTAATATGATTATTTATTACGTCACGTAAAGCATAATCGTACATAATATATTTAAAAAGCGTCCTTGTTATAAATGATTTCACTAATTTTCATAATTTAAGACTAAATATAAAAATTACCACAAAACTGCTTAAAATTTTGCCACAAAGAAAACTTTTTCATAACGTTACGTTATAATTAAAATTGCACTTGCGTTACTATTGAAAAAAAATATTATTGTTTAAACAAAAGTTTATTATTTATATTACAAAACAGAGTAACGAATACTGTAAACGAAACATGCGTCACGATACAGACTACAGTCTCTGGCAAGAATCGACGATCCACGATCTCCAGACTTATTCGTCATAGACCAACGGACTAGTCTAGCGAGACCCAAAACACATTTTTGAGATTAACTTACTAAAAGCGTTACGAATTTAAAGTTGTCTGAATGAATGAATTCGACGTAATGACGTCATGTTTTAAAGTAAAGCAACTGAAAACGACTTCTATAAAAACTCGACTATTTAAAGCTTTTGTTTATAAAAATCTCAATGACAATTTGTAATTATCAAATTAATCAAGATCCTGATATTTTTTTCCCGGATAAAGTTCAAGATTTAAATTGTATAAATTGAGTCTTAAATACAAAAAATTTTCATTCAAAATTTTTTCGTTTTTAAAAATTCGATTAACAAATTATATTATAATTTTATTTACCCTGCAAAGAGACGAAGACCGTTAAAAGTCAAAAAGACTAGAATATCTAATACTTGCGTCACGTATATATAACGTAATTGTAATGTCCACAACGTAACGAAAATTTAAACGGAATTAGAACAGCAAAACCATAAACGATTACAATTTATGTTTTAATAATTTTTTAAATTTGATTTACACGTATAAATCGTTAAAATTTTAAAACCTAAGATCAGACCATAAACCTGAAACATCTAAAAAATTACACAATTATAAAACGACCCATAAAAACCCATAAAATAAATGTACAAATACTGTCAAATTAACATTTTAAGCGCTAATACGTACGTCACGTAGACATAAGGTAACTGTAATGTCCAACGAAACTATAAAAGGTTCTAATTTATGTTTTAAACATTTTTTAAATTTGATTTAATTCATAAATCGTTAAAATTTTAAAACCCAAGACCAGATCATCGACCAAAAAACTTATAAATTACCTTAATAATTAATCAATTAAAAAACGACCATTGAAAAACACATGTTTTTAAAAAGTCTCAAACTGTTTACATTTAAACGTTAATATTTGCATAATGTAAACATAACGCAATTGCAATGTTCACAACGTAACGGAAATTTAAACAGAGTTAGACTAATAAAAGTCTCAAACTTAAGCGCTAATACGCACGTCACGTACTGTAATGTTCACAACGTAACGATATTTAAACAATATTTAAACCAATATAACCATAAATCATCCCAATTTTATGTTTTAATAATTTTTTAAATTTGATTTATTTTATAAATCGTTAAAATTTTAAAACCTAAGACCCAGACCCATAACTCTCAAACTTGGGAAACAAACGCCACAATTATAAAACGACCAATAAAACTGTCACTTTTTAAAATAAGTAGACAAATTTCGTCAAATTGACATGTCTTAAAAAATCTCAAACCGCTTACGTTTAAGCATTAATACATGCGTCACGTAAACATAACGTTTGACATTTCTAATTATAAAACTATCTAAGCACTAAACGGCTTAAGACGAGAACTATTCAATATAAAGAAATGTTTTCATATAAGCGTTAATACTTATGTCACATAAACGTAACGTAATTGACAAAATACCCATTACGTAATACTTTTTTAATGACATTCAGACTTTTAAATTATCAAACTAGGCAATAACGGAATAGAATACGACGTAAATTCGTCTGTTTATGAATTATCTCAGTCCATTGAAATAAATATAATAAATCAGAATTTGAAAAATACTTCAATAAATTCAGAAATTTGAGTAAATAGTAATAAATTAAAAACTACGTTATTGCGTTAAAGTTAAAATAAATGCTTCCGTTAAAAAAAACCCAAGAATGCGATTTATAATAAATGTATGATTAATCTCAGATCGATAAATAATATATCGAAAAAACACTGTGCGAACAAAGTAAAAATTTGAAAAGAAACTACGTTTGTTTTTTATTGAAAACTACGTTATTGCGTTAAAATAAAAATAACAAAATATTGAAATCGAAACTATGCAAACAAAAATACCTCGTTATTGCGTTAAAATTTAACAAATGCGTTCATTTCATTAAAAATATGAAAAATATGAAAAATTAAGGCGGAATGAAAAATCAGGGTTTGAAATAAAACTTTTTGAAAAATATAGATGTTACAAACATTCTGAAATTTAAAAATTGCGAACTTTAAGAAAATAAGCGAAATAAATTAAAGATTGAAAAAGATTACGATTTTAGAAATACGAAATCACAAAACTATAATTTTGCGAGTGCGAATAAATAAATGCATTTTTTGAAATAAAAATACAAAAACAAACTATATTTTGAATACGATTAAAGTTATGCGTCTATTTTGAGTTAAAAAAATACAAAAACAAATGTTATATTTGCGATAAAAAATAAGCAAAAGTCAGGTTAATAATTTAAAAAACTGCGTCAATAAAAATTTACTATTATTTTGCGACTGCGAAATTAAGAAATGCTATGTTATACCTTATAAATTAAATATGCGATAAATTGAAAAACGATATTTTGAATTACGAAACTATTACATTGCGAGTGCGAATAGATTTTTTTGCGATAAAAAAAAAACAATAACCAGTAGTCAGATTAATAGATAATGAATTATACAATTTCGTCAATAAAAATTTACTTTAGTTCTGCGACTATGAAATTAAAAAATACTACGTTATAGCTTTTTAGTTAAAAACATGCGTCAAAAAATTTGAAAAACAAAATACAAAGATTTAAAAATTGCGTTAAAAATATATGACATTAAAAGTTTAGAAAGAAATACGATTTTTATAAAATATTAACATATGAAATTATAACTTTAAGACTACAGCATTCCAAATTATACTAAATTTTTTTGCGTTAAAATTATTAGAAAGCAATCAATACTTATTATTGCGTTACAATTATTTGAATGGCATTATTAAATTTAAAAAAATAGATTAAAGAAATTACAATGTTACATTACGTTAATTATAAAAAGCTACGTCATTTTAAAAATGGGTTTAAAATTTACTATAAATGGTCATGAATACATTAATGAAATTCTAGAAAGTAAAATAATTAGTTTTTAGAAAATAATGCATTTTTTTTTAATTTGCGATTTAACAGTATTCTATATAATTTTCTTATCAATTACGTTTTTATAAAAATTATTTTCATTACATTTTTACTATTTTAACTACGAGTTCCAAACCTTAAAAAACTTTAATTTATCATAAACGACACAAATAATTTTTTTTTACATAAACTAAATATAAACTACGTTTGCTACATAAACTACGTTTTTATCTGAATTATTAATTTTATTAAATTACATTTTTATTAAAACTACGTCTTTATTGATTTTATTGATACTACATTTTTATTAAAATTATTTTGTCGACGTTTTTATTTAAATGACGTAAACTTTAATTTAACTAAATTTACAAATCGAGGGCAAACAACCCTATAAAACACATTACAGAAAAACGTCTTTATTTCAAAATCACTATTTTTTATTTCAACTACGTTTCACATAGGAAATTACGTCTTTATTAAAATTCTGATTTTATTAAAATTATATTTTCATTAAAATTTATCTACGTTTTAATTGAAACTACTTTTGTACTAAAACAAACTAAAACTACATTTGAAAACAAACCCATGTTTGTACTAAAAATACGTTTGTACTTAAACTACATTTGAACTTAAACTACGTTTGAATTTAAACTACGTTTGTACTTAAAGTACGTTTGAACTTAAACTATGTTGGTTCTTAAACTACGCTTGTACTGAAACTACGTTTGTAATTAAACTACGTTTATACTTAAACTACGTTTGTAATTAAACTACGTTTATACTTAAACTACGTTTGTAATTAAATTACTTTTGTACTTAAACTACGTTTATACTGAAACTACATTTGTACTTAAACTACGTTTGAACTTAAATCACGTTTGAACTTAAACTAAGTTTGTACTTAAACTAAGTTTGTACTTATACTAAGTTTGTACTTAAACGCGTTTGAACTTAAACTATGTTAGTTCTTAAACTACGCTTGTACTTAAACTACGTTTGCACTTAAACAACGTTTGTACTTAAACTACGTTTGTACTTAAACAACGTTTATACTTATACTATGTTTGAACTCAAACTGAATTGTAACAAAATTACGTTTTTACTAAACAACGTTTTTATTTAAATTTCGTTAACTTTTACTATTACATTTTTCACTTCGACTTTTTTTTATACGTTTTGTTATGAATTCTCACGATTTTATTAAACCACGTAATCTTCGTTTTCCATCAAACTTTATTATTATTTTAGCTATACGTTTTCATTAGTTATGATTAATTTGCAAACTGTTTTTATTAAACAAATATTTCATTGATATTACTTCGTATTCTTAGACAAGCTACGTTTTTAGTAAATACTAACTCACCATATGAATTAACTACGTTTTTATTTAAACGACACTTTGTCTTACAAAGTTTTTAATTAAGCTACGTTTCATGTTTATTTAAATTTCTGCTATTTATATTATATTTTTAATTAAACCATAATATTATTAAAACTACGTACATTTACCTACTACGTCATTACAATAAATGAATAAAACTCAAACAATCGAAATTATTGAAACAGAATTAC